TCTTTACTTGATTTATATAAACGGTCTTCCACAACAGGTATCGTGGGATTTTCTACTTTTCGTTGATGAGGTAAAACTCCGGAGAGAAGTTTTCAACGAAGAGGATTTGACTGGTCTTCGAAGTTGTTCAGATAACAACGGATATAAATTTAATATTTCAAAGTGTAGAGTAGTCTAATTGAGACATTTTTTCAGACTACAGCTACAACTTAGTTAACTCCCCTCTAGAGGTACCCCAAGTTGAAAAAGCTCTAGGAGTGTTGGTAACCTACGATAATCGTGACAAAAATGCCTTTCGAGCAAGCCTTGCACTGGTAACATTGAAGCGCATTTTTGACCAGTTCGACGGTAGAACTTTTCATACTATCTTCAACAGTGTTATTCGTCCCTATTAAGAGTACCGGGAACTCAACTTCAAAAATTATGAAGTGCGCCTCGGAGATGACTTTATGATAGTGTACAGCATCCCAAATACTTATGAACATTCCCTTAAACGCCTACTTAAGCTTAGTTCCAACACAAATCTAAAGGGAAACACCCAAAAACTGGAAACAAAGCACAGCTGTACGGACTGAAGACACACCTTCTACTCCCCAAAAGCAGTCCGATGCTGGAATTTGCTGCCGGCTAAGCTGGTTCAAGTGACTTCCAGGAGTTCTTTAGGAGAAAACTTGACATATTCCTAAAGCCTATGGATGGTATCCTAATATAATTCGCCAACTTCGTTTCCTCTTTCGTCGATAAAATGCCTAGGTTCCTGCGCGAAGTTATCGGTGGTTCACTGTTACCAGATACGGAAGCCCACTAGGCGAAAGCTTCTTGTATCCCGTCAAAAACCATTTGAATCACTTGAACGTCAAGACAGATTCAGATTAGTGTAGTAAGGACAGAAGGCCTACGGCCTATGTTATTCCTTTTCTAGTATGCTTCTGTGACTATTCAGTCTAAACTTGAATACGCCAATTGAAGGTAAAGACACCACTACTTCGGGTAACAGGTTCCAAGAATTGATGACTTGATGTGAAAACCGAGGCCATCTCACTGGTTGATGCTGCAAAGAAGTGTTTTAGCAAGCATAGTCGGAACGCGTCAAACAGCACTCGATCTGTTGACACGCAAATCAACGTGAAGGAAACTAAGGTTAGTCCGATGATAGATGACTCACGCCCGTCAAAGAAGGAAAAGCAGTCTCCAAAGGGCCTGCCTTAAACAAAAGCTCAAGAAAAGTAGGGTCTTCTGTTCCCCGTCTCCCAGATGGGATCCAACAGGAAACACCTAGAAGCCGCAATCGCAAGGCTCGATCGGTTTCAAGCGGTAAACATAACCCGACCTCTCAGGTCGTCGACAACCCCCCAAAATCCAACACTAGGTTTGACGCAACTGTTATTGCTTCTACCAGCACCGTTGACGAATGGGTACAGGTTGTAAGGAAGAAAAGTAGGGATATAAAAGGGAACCCTGCCCCCGTAAAAGTGGTTGAAAAATCGAAAGCTGATCATAGCGACAGATCAGCTATTTTTCATAGAATCAAGGAGAGCGAGAGCTCTGAACCTAAAGCTCGTTTTGAGCATGACATTGTACTGATTAGGCAGCTGCTTAATCAACTCATGCCTCAAAATATGACCGGGGTCACCTTGCTAAAGGTGTACAGACTAGGGAGTCTAACGGACTCGAAACCAAATCATTCCAGACTGCTTAAAGTAGTATTCGGCTCTTCAAACGAACGTGACCTAATTTTACAAAATGGACACAAATTAAAGGGTTCAGGAGTCTTTATCCGAAAGGACCTACCGTTGGCAGACCGTGTTAAAAGACGGGAAGCCGAGAAAGAACTACAACATAGGTTAGACGCTGGCGAAAAGGACCTGAAAATTGTAAATTTTCGGGTTGTAAGACTTCGACAGAGAATGATGCCGAAGCCACTCTGGGTGAAGCACGAAGGCACTTAAACAGGCTTCGGATCTGTTACACCAATGCACGAAGCTTACTTAATAAGCGATCGGAACTAGGTGTACAGATTGACTCTATAAAGCCAGATATAATCGCAGTAACAGAAACCTGGCTGACACAGGCTATAGATAGTATAGAACTTGATTTCGAGGGCTTTACGTTAGTAAGGGCCGACAGAACACAAAAGCGCAAAGGAGGGGGAGTAGCTCTATTCATTAGGAATGCTATCCCATTTACCATTATCGATAGTGTATCCCATGAGAGTGGGACGTGTGAATTAGTTAGTCTTCGCTTAAAATGCAAGGGACAAGAGCTGCTGATTGGTTTGGTCTATCGCAGTCCAAGCTGTGAGGCAAATGAGATCCTGTTAAGCAGTCTCAATACTTGGTCCCAAAGTGGTCGATGTCTAATCCTAGGGGACTTTAATGCACCTATGGTAGACTGGGAAAATCTGCGAACTGAATCGTCAGAAAATTCCTTCGAGCAGGAACTAGTTGATGCGGTTATCACATGTGCCCTAGTGCAACATGTGAAAGAAGCGACTAGGTACGACCCGGACACTGAATCATCCTTATTAGATCTTATACTGACTCACTATGAGGATGATGTTGCGAACCTCCATCATATGCCACCCTTAGGTAAAAGTGACCACGCAGTTTTAACTTTCGACTTCCATATAACTGCCAGTCATGAGGACGCGTCAGTCCAGTCCAGACCCAACGTCTGGAAAGCAAACATACCAGACATCATGCACTCAGCATCGTTAATAGATTGGACAATAGACCCAGAGTCCTCCATTGAAACGGCCTGGGACGCATTTCGAAATTCATACTTAAAAGTTACCACACCTCACATCCCTTGGACTATACCAAAGGGGCCGAAAAACTCACCACCATGGTTCAGTAGGGAGGTCCGTATCCTTCTCCGTAAGAAAAGGAAAATGTGGGATAGATTTAGGTTACTGGGGACTGATGAGTCAAAATCTCAGTATCGAAAGGCTCGGAACACTTGTGCCTCGACCCTCCGTAAGTCTAGAAAATTGTACGAAGAAAAAATTGTTAAGGAATCCATAGAATGTCCTAAACGCTTGTATTCCTATATAAACCAAAGGACAAGGAGAAAAGGAAATATTCCTGCTCTATGGGGAGACAGTACTGCTTCATCATTAGTGGAGGACGACTTTGGTAAGGCTCAAGCGTTCTCGAACTACTTTAGCAACGTATATACCATAGAAGCGCCCTTCTCGTCAGCGTATACAGATCCCCCATACATACACTGGATAGCGTGACCATTAAAGAACTCGATGTCTTTGGTCTGCTAAATAAGCTTGACATAGGTAAATCCACGGGGCCCGATGAATTACATCCTAGGCTACTGAAGGAATTATCTAACTTCGTTGCAAGCCCTTTAAGTACATGCTTTAACCTATCCGTTACGCAGGGTCGCTTACCGAAAGATTGGAAAAACGCCATAGTAAGTCCTGTCTTCAAAACAGGTACGAAACACAAACCTGAGAACTACCGCCCCGTTAGCCTAACTAGTGTGGTTGTTAAAATCTTAGAAAAGATTATTCGGAAGGAGCTGTTTAAGTATCTCGATAAAAACCGGATCCTCTCGGAGAAGCAGCACGGCTTCAGAATAGGTTATTCTTGTCTCACTAACTTATTAGTGGCTCGTGAAAGCTGGTGCGCTCTTAAGGACCAAAAGCTACCTGTAGACGTCGCCTTCATTGATTTCAGTAAAGCTTTTGATAAAGTTCCGCACAACCGGCTGTTATATAAGTTAAGAAATGTCGGGATTGGAGGCAATTTATTGATGTGGATAAAAGACTTCTTAGTTGGGCGTCAACAAAGAGTAAGGGTGAACTCAAAGTTATCTAGCTGGGAAACTGTGCTTAGTGGAGTGCCCCAGGGTACAGTTTTGGGGCCAGTGCTATTCCTCTTGTATGTAAATGACCTTCCTTGTCTCCTATCATCATCGGTCTTGCTATATGCTGACGATGTCAAGATATGGAGAACGATACGATGTAAGAGTGATAGCTTAGAACTTCAAAATGACCTGAAGAAGTTATCTGAATGGTCTCAAACATGGCAGTTGCCGATAAATACTTCCAAGTGTGTTGTGATGCATATCGGTCATCAAGGCACAGATACATGGATGAATAACACTGAGCTACCTGTCGTCCAGACATATAATGACTTAGGAGTCATCGTTAGCCAAGACTTAAAGACTACTGCACAATGCCGAGCAATAGCAGCCAAAGGTCTTTAGTCATGTCGACGCTAAGACGTTTTTGACTTTGTATACAGTGTTCGTACGTCCTAAACTTGAGTACTGCATACAAGCGGCCAGCCCCTGCTTAAAAAAAGACAGTGAGCTTCTGGAAGAGGTTCAGAGAACGGCAACTAAGCTGATTCCCAGAATAGCGAAGCTTCCGTATGAATCTCGACTGGCCAAGCTAACCCTTTTCCCGTTGTCATATCGTAGAACTAGAGGCGACTTGATTACAGCTTTCAAATTGCTAAGTGGTAAATTTTTACCTGATATGCCTTCATTTTTCTTGTCTTCCAAAACAGAGAATTTACGAGGACACTCCAAAATAGTTCACAAGTCCAGAACAAATTACTTGTCAGCTGACCATCGACTTTCCCATCGAATCATCAACGAGTAGAATTCACTACCTCAGCACGTGGTTGAGGCTCCATCTGTCGACTCTTTCAAAAGAAAGTTGGATCAACTGAGAGACCACCATTGCCAGGACTAACGTAGGCCATCGAGCCTCCTGTCCTTCCCAAACTGAAACTGAATGTCACGGGTATTTTGTTCGCTTTGGCTTTTCTACTCACCAATACTTTTTGTTCGAAAAGCGCACGTATTTATTATTAATCTCAAGGCCGATTCTTTTAAGTTCTTTGGAAACTCTCTCGCGTCTGAGAACTCTCACTTATTATCCAGACATAGATCTCATTGAACAAACAGCTCTCTATTTCAGCCCGTCAAGTTCGAATTGCTGACAGCGGGAGTTTTGACGTCGCGTGCGTTGTTGCTAGATGGACATTGTTCGTAAATTAGCCAAAGCTCTAGCCTCTAATCAAGATAAAGTGAGGCGAAAGGCACAGAAGCAAGTAAAAGTACTCCTTTCAAAGAAATCATTGAATGGAAAAGGTTGGATTTATTCATTTATCACTATATTGTTCAATAAAGTGCCAAATGATTCTAGACTTATGTAATATTTATAAACTTTGTTCTGACATTACAGAAATGTCAGCAAAGACAATAGACAAAATTATGCATGTCATGGAGTCACTAATTTTATTTGTCGAAGTCCACTTTGTTGATTTATCTAGTCCTTATGGTTAAGGATCTAATAAGATGCCTCTAATGCGCAAATACATTTTAACCTTGAAAGTTTACTCTGTAAAGTTGCTAATTTTAGCAACTACGATTATTCGTAGTCAGGGATGATCACTGGAAAACTCGGGACTTTCCACAATGAGTAGCGCTGGCATATGAAACATTTCGGTAGAGGCACTTATCAAAAAGAATTCTGCTGACCTATGTCGATCTTCGAAGATATTCAGCATCCTGAATATCTTTAATATTTCTTTATCATTTTGTGTTACTCCCCATGCCTTAGCACTGCCAGTTTATGATAAGACCATTGCAGTTTCATTGCAGTTACGTTGTAGCTGACTGGGTGACATGGCTCAGAATCGGTCACATTGGGGTAAGTGTATACACTCTTTGTCTTTCCTTAAGCCGTGACACTAAAATTATTTTACACCTTTCTCTCTACGAACTAATTATTTCTCCCTGTATCATATCCTCATATGCAATCTTTCTTTTATATATTACTACAATTGAAGTAACTACTTCTATGAATTTGGTGTTTATCTTGTTGTGCTAATAAGGTGTGGCAACTTGGACCGATGCATATGTGTGCCTGGTCCTACGTTGTAGATGGCTGACTAACTGAACTCTTGATAAGTTCAATGCTTAGCATTCTACCTTTCAGCCTACATAAGTGACTTGATTCAGACAATCTAGATCCTGCCGAAAACGATAGTGCAATCATCAGTCAAATTGCCAATATGAGTTTATCGAAAACATCTTGCAGGAAAATTCGTTGTTCATGTGCAGTCAACGTTTAGATAATTCAAGAAACCTGTTAATTTCCATCCATCCTCTGGTCAGATTCTATTAAAAAAAAACCAAATTTTGGCTTTAAAATCGATATCCCATTATTTTTTCTTACTTTACGGTTCTTGGCATTTTTTCACTTTTAATGTGCCAGCATGTATAGATACGCACTCGTACTACACTGTGCTTAAATGTCGATTTAACCAGTCATATATACCTAACGGGCGTAAAGTTGGTTCCAATTCGTATTGATTGAAACTTTGCCCAGTTATCTGGAGATGTTATAGCAGTGACTTGCGATGGAAAGTTTTTGATAGGGTTCATCGACACGTGGTCGTGTTTGGAGACGAATAGTCAATACTAATCTATGTTTTCCGTAGTTTAGTTCCACTGTTATACAGCAATGCCCTCGAAACTTAATAGCTGGGTTTTTCAATTCTAATTTGACGAATAAACCTACTATCCAAAAATAGTCAGAAGTTTTGGCTGGTCAAAAAACAATAAAACTACACGGATCCCATAACAATCTACCAAGATTTGGGTTCAATTGTGTTATAACGGGACGAGTATTAGAAATTTGAACTTTCGGGACTGTTCTAACTGAAGTTATTTATATTTTTGTTCTTCATTAAGTACTTAAATTATTGCATTTCTATATTCTCCCATCTCTGAGCCTTCGTTTGATCCATAAATCGTTGTGACTCCTTATCATTCCAGACATCATTACTTGATTACTTGCTTATTACTCTGGTCTTGGATCATTTATGATCAAGTTATATACACATTTAAAGTTTTTCTGCTTATGTTGCTGTGTGGTCAAGACATTTCATCTTCAAACCCTAATGTTTCCGATTACTGCTTATACTCTTACCACCTCTACCACTACGGGATTTGAATCGAAAACTGCATCTCTGTGCTAATGTGGTGCGGCAACTCGAACTGATGTACGTACGTACGAAGTTCTACGTTGTTACTGACTGAGTGACATTATTTTGTGGTTTTAAGTCGAAATAAAATTGAGTGCAGTAGAAGACTGATCTGCCTTCTGCTTTCGTCTTTTTGATTAGTCAGTCAGTCAGGAGCTTGAGGGACCAATAAGGGTCGACATCTTGGTTATTGTTCATTGGTCGATTTGTCAATCGGTAAATAGTTCACTAGTCCTACTGGCAATACAAACGAATTAATCGATAATCGGGTTAAAAACAGGCCATTGCAACTGCTCCCCTGTCTTTACGAACTGACCATACAAAACCAATGTAATCCAACCCAAAAAGCTAACCTACTGTTTTCGTCCTATTTAAATTAACTGAATTTCGGGTAATCTATGGTGTGTAGTCGATGGTTCTGACTGTTGTTGCTACCAAATAACTAATTTATGCAACTGTTTGCCATTGACTTTGGTAGTTGCAATGGGACAGGCTTCCTTTGGTATGTTTTTCAATTTCTTCCCCCAAATTATGATGACCAGAGTCGAGATGTTATCATATACTGTGATTTGGACGTAAAAGTTGGGCCATAGAGTATGTAGTTAAGGAAAGGAATAATTCCTTAAGGTGTTATTTTCAGGAAAAATTAAGTGTAGTAACTATTCAGAACCTGACGACTTAGTATTTCTCAAATATTGTAATATCTAAAATTGTTTATGAGAATGCCAAACTTATGTAATTTACCTTTTGTCACGACTGATTGTATGTTATTAGATATATTGATTGTTTTCATACTAGTGGTTGTATAACTTTTCTTGTTTGTGAAGCTTTAAAAATGGACTTGTTCTTATGTATTACAGTTACATAAATCTACATTATTTTTTTATAACCATTGTCTTCGTTTAATCGACCATTACAGATGATTGGACTTACGAACAGTTGCTGGGCATTTGCAAAGGTCTTCACTACAGTTTATGGATGCAGGACAAGTTGCTGCTGAAGGTACTTACATCCAACTTATATTTTTTACTCAAAGGAACAAACGGTCGTCCGGTTATGTAACATATTACCCAATATTGAGGACAACACAGTCACATTGTATTATTCTTATGCCATGTTTGAAACACTAGCAAGAGAATGGGACAATTTAGATTACTGGAGGGTAGACAAATTTATGCTGGTAAGTTGAAATGCAGTTCATTCATTGTTATCTAGCTCGGACGAGAATTTTTTACGAGAGGCCTTCAGTTTATTTCTTGCAAAAAACCTGAAATTTTACCTTCATTTGTGGAGGCCATTTTCACCAAGATATTGAACAATGACATAAATCATGCTGTTGGTCTAAAATTGCATTTCTGTACTCTAATAGGTGAAGAACTTCCGAAAAAGGTATGTGTCTTTAAGTTTTTAACTATAGGGGAATGGCAGAACGTAAAAATGTTATCTCTGCAGTTAGTCTTTCAATATCTCCTGGTTTTACTAGCTTCCCTACCGAAGTGAGATCGTTTGAATGATTTTTATTGTTATTTAGACACAACATTTACGCTCACAGTGTCCTATCTCTGATTACTCGGATAACAAAGCTTATTCGAAGACGTCCACAAGTATGCTTGGTTCCTTTATTTTTACACATAATTTTAATTCAGTGTTGTTTGGATCGTATTATGAAATGTCTTGAGAATATTTTAAGCAAAGATTCCTCCTATAGAAACGCTTTAAAACGAGTCGACACAAAGTAATTTAACTGCCTGATTATCTAGTGGCTTTCTTTAGTCTAAAAAGAATTCTGGCAAATAGAGAAACTACATCAGTAGCAACCGATGGACAGATCCCCACGTTATGTACAGAGTCGTCACCTGAGGTAAAAGAATGTTCCACTATGTTTACTCCGCATAGACGACAAATCTCGTTCTCAATACTTGTGAGAATATAAATAGTGAAGGTGGTTCATCAGAGCTTAAGGTGAGTATTCCTGATAAATTTGACTTGTTTCAGATCGGAAAGAAAAAAATTCCGAAGGTTTTAAAGAAGAAAAAACGGGTGATTAAAAAACGTTCATATGCTGAGACCGCTAACGTAAATCACTACTTACTTTCCAACTACTTTTAGCCCGTAAATATAGAGTTCAGCAATCAAGCTGATAATTTTGTCGAAGAATCACGTCCAAAGAGAATGAAGTCTGAAATACCCACAAAGGTAACTCTTATGTAATTACGTCTAATTGTAGTCTGTTGACGAATGCACAGCAGTTCCATGTGTAGTTCCTGATTCTCCATGCCCTTTTTCAGCATGTGATGATGAATCTAAACCAAACGTCGGTCAATTTATATCTCCTAATGTTTCAATAAGTGGCAACTCTGCTTCTGTAGAAAAGTGTACTTCAAACACTCCGCTTTCTTCTGAAAGACGTGTATCCTTCGGTAAGGTATTTCGTAAGAGTAGGTTTACTGCACAGTTCTCCATAATGTAAATTTTAGAATTTAACTCAGCTCGTTGCATCTCCCTAACCCCACCGGTTAGTGTTATTCCAGCCAAGGGAATTTTAAGAAGTAACAGTAAGTAGCATGCTTTTCTTATCTTTTCTGCAGAATCTATAGCTGATGACGCGAAAGCTAACGTTTCGTTCTAATTTAAGTTGTAATTTTGTACATATAAATGAAATAAACACAATGTCTATGTATCAGTCTCTTTGGAAATTACATGTTACGTAACAGAAAAAAAACTTTTTACGCCAATCTTAGTTCTCTGCGAATAGAAATTATCTGATTTAATGAATTTTCACTGATAAAAATGAATCTACGCGTTTAAAGTGGCTAACTAAATATTATTCTCTATCGATACATAAATTAATTCGGTATGTATCGTTGTTGCGAGACCGTTTTTTGAATTCTTTAGAGCAACAATGGAAAACTTTAGATCTCGGGAACATGCCATTTTCCTCCTTGGTAGAATGGTGATTTTATCTAGCGTCTGTATGTTCTGTAACATGGAACCATAAAGAGGTTGTGTGTTAGCCGGTACCTGAAATGAAGACATCAATTCTGTGGATCAACACAGTTCGTAAACGAAATACATGTGTTTGAGCAGACTCGTTGGTTAAGGGTCGAGAAAAGAAGCAATAGGTTATACGCTGAAAGATTCTCATTTTCGCTTTGTGATATCTTTGGGGCCAATACCTCATTGAGCGCCCCCAAATGCACTGGTACGGCCGAGGGTAGGGAGAGTCCGCTCTCTTGAAATGCTCTCACATGGCCACGCGTATACGGCCACTGCCAGGGAAGTCCTCGTGGGGGGACTGTTGTTCACGAAGTTGAGAGAACGAAAAGAGAATGTTCGGCGCTTAAACCGAATTGGTGGATATGGAGGATTCACCTACGGGAGTTGGAAAACCCTGATTCCAAACTAATGGTGCGCATGGGCTCCAGGATCCTAAGGGAAAAAATAGCGTATAAACTAGTTATTGGTCACCGGCCACCATGGGACTGCTTCTCCCGATGTTTCTCTACTGCCTAGTGAATTAGACTTTTAGTCGAGGAATTCGGGTATGGCCCTCTAAGAAAACCACTTGCTTCGGTCTGGACAGTATCACACCCACACACAATCAAGTGACTTGTGTGGCGCATATGTATTCGGCGCCTCTTTGTGCTATTATTTGTGTTCAAATAAATGCCTACGGCTGATTCGGTATGGCGAGCTAACCCTCAATTAATGAGCTGGTGTTACACACCCGTAGTTTTTTAACAGCAGGCTCTTTTAATCTAAATCAAAGTAAAACCCTCAGTAATTTGAGCTACACAAACAATCTACTCAGATCATGCTACTGAATGACATTTAGGAAAAGGGTGTATTCTCTACATGTGAAGACGGTACGTGGGATAAATAGTCGATTTTATTACTCTATGAGGGATCCAAATAATCAACTGTATTTGAGGGGGCGTATGGTCATTTAAAGTACAACGCCTTAGGGTAAATCTTCATAGTTCATCTCATCAACATACCTTTTAATTAAGACCAATCCTATTTACCCAATGGAATTAAAAGAGCAACGAACTTTCAAAATAGATTTTATACACGATAGGCTGCTTATTGTGAAAACCAAAAATATTGGTGTGACAGTACAAAATGTCTTTATACTGTAATTGCAGAAGTGGGACTATACAATTTACGTACTGACCAATTAACATCAGGAAAGCTTAATCACAGTGCAAAAAATTTAAGTTTATGTTCTTTAGTAATCAAGATTCAAAAACAAATCCACGGCCTGTGAGGTCTTTTTTTGCTTCACTGACTAGCTTCATAAGCTCCGTGGACGCCTCTGGACAATCATTAAAACTGTATGTACGATAAAGTATAATCAAAACGGAAACTGTTACAAAAATGAATAATAGGTGAAAAGGCAACCAGTTGAGTATCATGTTTCCGCAGTCAGACTGTACAGTGATAATCCCCATTAATTTAGACACCCATATTGCGGAAATCAAAGATAAAACAAGAAGCCATTCTACTATTTTCTTCATGGTGAACGTGGACAATAAAATCAACTTAGTTACGATAGGGACGAGGTCTTCGGGAATATTTTCAGTTGATTGAACAGTAGGCAACTTTCGTAGTAACTGAAAAATAGGAGGAATGGTGGGTCAATGAAAAGCTTTGTATTTAAAAGTCAGTAGTTTAACAATTACTTTTCTGAGAAGCCTAACTGATCGCACTGTGTTGGCAGCCGAAGGAACTTCAGAACAAATACAAGGTAAGACCCGGCATAATGGACACTCAGTAGCTTACCTTAAATAAATTCGAAAATTATGGGGAAAAGCAACTCGACTATAACTTTTGACATGAAAGCAAAGGCGACGAGGCTAGCAGTGCACATTCACGAACAAATAAGCCGACTGGGTCTAAAAGGCCGATAACTAGTGGAAGTATAGTTGAGGATGAGGTGGTTCGCTGAAAATAGGAGACTGGAACGATGGAGCAGAATCTTTCACGGCTTTGAGTCTTATTATTGTATGTCGCCCCTGTGCAAAAGGAAAATGAGGCAATTTTATCCTCATTTTTATTTACGTACTATCTGGTGATTGCAGTGACTAACAACTCTAACGCACTTGTCGGTAATGATCAGCAGAAACACACTACCTTAACCACTCAAACTAATTTGAATACCAAATTTACTAGGGTTACTACTCATGACTCCAAAACTTTACAATTGTAAATCAAAATACTAACGATTTCTACAAGTGGCGACAGTTAATTAACGAGGATTTAGAATCAATCAGTCAAAGGGAAAGTAGAACCTAACACGTGTATACCAGTGTACGCTGCTATCCTCGAAGGTGAGATGAATTTGTAAGGGCAAATCCCAGAATAGTTGAGGCAGTGAAAACATTAGTGGTAATAGGAAAGATTAGGGATCCATGATACAATTAAAATATAGATCAGCGAGGAGGATTCCATCAACTTAAAGGGGAGAGACCTGGTGAACACGCGTCATTGTAAACGATTCTGAAATATGGCAGCCCTAAACATCTGTTACGATGACCATGCAGACTCTCAGCTGATAATCCGCACTTAATTTATTGTCTATATTTAACTGCGCTTCATGAGATCTGTGGAGTCATTGCCCTTCCGATGACTTATGGGCCTAATAATTTCTACATATTATTGATCTAGAAATTGCTGACCCAAGCTCCCAATTTTGGGGAAATGGCACAAAAACCCGAAAATTTCCCCAAACGTTGGGGACTTAACCAAAGTTGGGAGCTCGTGGAGTCACTCAACACACTCTCGTCCCAGGTACAAAAGGGGTTCTTGGTAGTGTCTAGCAAGCCATTATATGCATGCATTTAAAGCGTTTGGTTCTCAAGATTTGATGTTCATCTGTTGCATTCCACTGTGCTAGGCTAGCTTTTCTGGCAATGTATATCTAGATATATGGAGTAGGTGTTGTAGGCGCATTTATATATCCAGGGTATGAGAAAAAAGCACTCCGCGAGTGATTTCTAGAAGTTATGTGATGAAATAACCAGAAATCGTTTAAATTCACTGGTGACTCAATAGGCAAATATTCGGAGGAGACAAGTTGTGAAACACGTTGTGCCAAACAGTAGGGACAGTAAATTATGCAAGAATCCGTAGACGACAGACGTTTTAGGGATCCAAGGATAGTTACACTGAGTGAGACATATGTTTCAATGACTTACAACTTACAGCCCGTAGACTTAAGTCGTGGCGTATATTTGGAAATACCCGCACTGTCGAGTAGTACATGTTCAAGTGAATAAAATACTTAGGCAGGAAATTAAAGTTTCCATTCACCAAGCTCCCTCGTCTAATAGCGATGGACTCCAAATATCTTGAAGTAGTGATCTAGGTACATGGAATGTACCCACTGATTTGACAACCGCGCTTTTCGAACAGGAAGTTTAGTCGTAAAGTCATTTGCATTTATCAAACCTTTGCTGTGTTCTTACGCAACAAAAGTACCATTTCTGTCCAAAAGAATTCATCCTGAGCTAAACGTTCGGTCGCTTACTTTCTTTGAGTTTCACCCGATTTAATAGTTAACTCGGGTTTTGCATTAGTTTACGTAAACGGTGGACAGCTGAGTGGTTATATTTGTTTAGGTAATAATGTACATTTAAATTCATGATAAATTATAGAACCGTAATCGTACCCAATTACTTTGTTTTGATTTTAAACGGGCGAGGGCGCGTATCTAACTCATCCAGACAGCTGTCCATCAGTCCAACCGTCGTTTGGATCTTACACTTCTAAACAAATATTTTGGTCGAATTCGTTTGGCTTTCGTTTCGTTGATTGCAATCATTGTCTCTGGGAATATTTGGTCGTTCGCTTGCGATGCCAAACAATCGTCGAAGGAAATTAAGTCCAAGGCTCGTGGATGTTAAAAGAGATTAACAAAAGGATGGATCCCCTCAATCAAGGCAAGTGCCTTTTGTCTTCAGTCTTCAGTCTTCAGTAATATGGATAGTAGGTTGATGAACCTGTGTTAATCCTGACACATTGCTTTCCAGTGAAGGTCCAGCTTTTCTTTGAAAGTATTCACTGATGGGGCTGATACCACTTGTTCGGGTAAGGCGTTCCAATGATTGACTACTCGATGAGAAAAACGGGATCCCACTTTAAGTTTATTAGATCGTGGTTTATGAACCTTCTTGCTATGACTTCGGAGATTATTAGTGCTGGAGGGAGCAAAAAGATAAGACATATTAACACCCAAATCATAATTAAAGATACGAAATGCCAGTATAAGGTCACCTCGTGTCCTACGATACGACAAGGGGAAAAGATTTAGGCGTTTTAAACGCTCATTGTAAGGGAGTCTAGAAAAACCCTTTACTAATTTCGTTCCCACACACTGGACACGCTCAAGGGAGTTAGTATCCTTTACCAGACACGGGCTAGCTGCTTGGATACAGTACTCTAAATGTGGTTCAACATATATGGGATATAAAATTCGAAACGTTTCCTCGTCAAAAGATTTGAACGCTCGGCGAAGTGACCATAACGCACGAAAACCTTTGACAGATTCAGTGGTTGGTATCTCGGTGTGAGTGGGACAAGTATTTGTTACAATAAACGTAGAGAAGACTTCGCTAAAATAATCTGAAA